TTACCACTGAAACCGCAGGAATACAAGGAATCATTACAGACTGTTATGAACAACTATACACCAACAAATTGGAAAGGCTAGAAGAAATGGGTAAATTCCAGGGCACATAAAAACTACCAAGATTGAATCATGAATAAATAGAAACCCTGAACAGACCAATAGCAAGTAATGAGATTGAAACAGTAATAAAATGTCTCCTAACAAAGAAGACTAAGACCAGATGATTTCACTGTAAAATTTGACTAAACTTTTAAAGAAGAACTAATAACAATTGTTCATAAACTATTCTCAAAAAATCGAGAGAAGGGAATTCTTCCCAACCCATTACATGAGGCCAGCATTCTGCTAATACTGAAAACATATAAAAGGACACAACACTACAAGTTGATATTGGTCCCTGATTAACATAGATGCAAAAATCCTCAACAAAATACTAGCAAACTGAATCCAACGTACACCAAAAAGATTAAACACCATGATCAAACGAAATTTATCCCAGATATATAAGAATGGCCGAACATGTGCAAATCAGTAAATGTGATACATCCCAGTAACAGAATAAAGAACAAAAACCATGCAATCATTTTAACAGATGCAGAAAAGCATTTGATAAAATTCAACATCCCTTCATGATTAAAAACTCTCAACAAATTATGTATGAAGCAACATACCTTAAAGAAATAAAGGCCTTATATGGCAAACCCACAACTAACATCATACTGAACAAGGAAAAGTTTAAGTCCTTTCCTCTAATATCTGTAACAAGACAAGAACACCCGCTTTCACCTCTTTTATTCAACATAGAACTGGAATTCCTAGCCAGAGCAATTAGGAAAGAAAAAGAAATAATGGGCATGGAAACTGCAAAGGAGAAAGTCAAATTGCCTGTACTTGCAGATGACAAGATCTTATATTCAGAAAATCCTAAAGACTCCACCAAAACACTTTTAGAACTATAAACAAATTCAGTAACTTTGCAGAATATAACAAGCAACTTGGGAAAAAAATGAAGAAAGCAATCTCATTTACAATAGCTATAAAAATAAAATATCTAGGAATAAATTTAACCAAAGAGGCAAAAGATCTCTACAATGACGACTATGAAAACCTGATGAATGAAATTAAGGAGGACGCAAATATATCCCATGTTCATGTATCGTTAAAATGTCCATATTATTCAAAGCTCATAGGCTTGGGTGAGAGGGTCTAGATGTGCTGATGGGACTAGGAGTGTGGAGATTCTGGGGTTATTGTGTCTCTGGGCAAAGTGAACTCTGGTGCTGGCTCTGATCCCAAAATGACATCTAGCAGCAGCCTGGAAATGAAGGAGTGGGGGTACTCATCGTGCCCTCCCCCTCTGGAGAAATGCAGTCGTGTGGGCTCCGAGCAGCTTTTCATGCTGGGCTCACTGACCAGAAGGGCTGTGTGGTGACCGTGTAGCTTGACTTGCAGGTGTCTGCACTGGGGATGGCCAAGTGCAGACTCCTCCACCTGCCTTCTCCCTGCAGTGCCCCCATGGATTCTTTAGTTTAGAAACCCAATTACTTTAGAAGAATATGTCTTTATTTTAATTATTTGTTATTAGTTATTTCTGAAATAGATTGTAATTTCTATTGTACAAAATCTTTGATTTCGGGAAAAATTTCTTGAAGTAAATCTTCTAGTTTTTTGTCTATTTTTTCTGTTGTCTTCAGGAACAGCAAGTTTTTTATTAGCTGAATACCTTCTCCCTACCCGTTTTTGGTCTTTCATAAATATCTTGTCTTTTTTTTAAAAATTAAGTGTTTTCAAGGTTTTTATTGGAGTACACAAGTGATGTGCCACCCATACTTGCCTAAGTAAGCCTTATGAAAGAAACTAAACTGACATTTAGTCAAATTTAAGACAGGCTTACTAACTGATTTTCTTTTTTTTTTAATTTCTTCAGGTTCTCAAAGTTCATTTCTAAAAATCATATTTCCGGAGAAAATCCAAGCAAATACAAGTCACAATTCAGAAGTAGAATATGTAAGAGATACAATTTAAATTATTATGTGAAATCTTATTTTTATTACATACTTATCAAATATATCAACCCCATTAAAATATGAATATAATTATCTATTACTACTAATAAGGAATTTAAAGGTTTTATGGTAAAAGCAAATATATAAATCAGAATGTTCTGTTTTGTTTAACATTAGTCATTTCCTCATAGTAAACTATTTTTAAAAGTTCAAATACAGAAAATAGTGTAGAGAAATTAAATATCTTATCTGAATGGCATCTGGGAGATATTTAGGAGACTCCAACGAAGAGAATAATTTTCTCCAAAATGGCTGAAATATGAATATCTATTAAAACTTCCTTCCTCAATCTCCACTGCTGCACATACCAGTTCTCCAACAAGAAGAAACCTTTTATTCTGTTGTTATTATTAGAAAGGGAAATAATTAATTTTATCCACTGATTTATTTAACAGATATTTCTTGGGATATGCCATATGCGTAACTAATCCTAAGTGTCTTACTTAGGACATTAAAAAAAAGAAATACAGTTAAGCAAGCTCTGCTTATAAGTGGCCAATCTTTTGATAACACCTTATTTTTTAATAGTTTTTTTTGAGGTATAATTTACACATCACAAAATTCACTCATTGTAAGTGCACAACTCAGTGATTATTAGTTCATAGAGTTGTACGAATATTACCACAATCCAGTTGTAGAACATTTCTGTTGTCTTAGAGTTTCCTCATGTCGGGCCGGCCCGTGGCTCACTCGGGAGAGTGTGGGCTGATAACACCGAGGCCACGGGTTCGGATCCCATATAGGGATGGCCGGTTCGCTCACTGGGTGAGTGTGGTGCTGACAACACCAAGTCAAGGGTTAAGATCCCCTTACTGGTCACCTTTAAAAAAAAAAAGAGTTTCCTCATGTCCATTTGCAGTTGATCTCTCCTTCCATTCCCAACCCTTGGCAACAACTGCTCTATTTTCTGCCTTTACACATTTGCCCCCCCCACCACCTTTTTTTTGACTTTTCATACAAATGGAAACATACAATAATGCAGGCCTTTCCATTGGGCTTCTTTCATTTGGTTTTATCAATTTTGTAGCACTTGTAATGCCATTAATTTTCATTTCTTAATAGATGTAGATATACCAAATTTTGCTTATCCATTCACCAGTTGCTGGACATTTGGATTGTTTTCAGGTATTGGCTATTGTGAATAATTTTTGTGAGCATTTATGTGTGGATATATATTTTCCTTTCTCTTGGGTAGATTCTTAGGTGTGAAATTGTTAGGTCTCATGGTAAGTTCATGCTTAACATTTTTAGAAACTGCCACACTTTTCCATAGTGACTGTACCAATTTATATTTTACATCAGTAATATATGAATGTTTCAGTTTTTCCACATGCTTGTAAACATTTGATGTCTGTCTTTTAATTTGTTAATGTTTAAAATTTTTTAAATGACATAATTGTACATATTTATGGGATACATATGATATTTTGATATGTGTATACTCATACAATGTGTGGTGGTCAAATCAGGGAAATTGGCATATCCATCACCACAACACGTATCATTTCCCTGTGTAGGGACGTTCAAAGTCCTCTCTTCTAGCTATTTTGACATATACAGTAAAGTATTGCTAACTGTACTCATCCTATTGTGCTATAGTTATGATTCCTTCTGTCTAACTGTAATTTTGTACCTGTTAACCGAGTGTACTTTGTACCCTCTCCTTCTTGCCCTTTGTAACCACTGGTTACCACTGTTCTACTCTCTGATTCTTAGAAATTAACGTTTTTTTTTTTTAGCTCCCACATACGAGTGAGAACATGTGGCATTTGTCTTTCAGTGCGTGGCTTATTGTAGAGCTAGGGCTAGGGTCTGGAGCTCACAGACCCCTTCAGCCCATTCACCAATCCTTCACATGTAACCAGCAAAAGGTCCTTGGAGCCTTGGCTGAAGAAGGAATAGTCTTTATTCAGCACACACACGTCTAGGAGCTAGGCAGTACCAAGAGAAACTCAGAAACTCAACTGCTACCAGCAAAGTCCAAAGAAAAACTGAAACTGAGCAGCTGCCAGCAGAGTAAACATGCTCTATTGTTAGATGCCAGCTCTGCCTGCCAGCTTCTGATTCACAAACTGAAGAACACACAATAGCAACAAACTAGAAAGATACATGGGTGCACATGCGCACTAAGTCCACCCACGCACAACTTAACAAGAAATGTGCTGCTTGACCCCCTACCAGACCTGAGCCCAGGGAGCCTGACTAAATTATCCTATTTTCCCCACACTTATTTTACTTAACATAATGTCCTCCAGTTTCATCCATGTTGTTGCAAATGACAGGATTTTATTCTTTTTTATGGTCAAATAGTATACCATTGTGTATTGATGGAATTTGGATGTACTGTCCTCCCAGAACTCATGTGGAAATCTGATCCCCAGTGTGGCAGTGTTGGAAACTGATTGAGTCATGGGGGCAGATCCCTCATGAATGGATTAATACTTTCCCTGGGGGGTGGGGGATTAATGAGTAAGTTCTCGCTCTATTAGTTCCTGCTAGAGCTGGTTGTTAAAAAGAACTGGCACCTCCCCGCTCTCTCTCTCTTGCTTCCTCTCATGTGATCTGCTTTTACCTGCTGGCTGCCTGCCAGTTTCCACCATGAGTAGAAGCAGCCTGAGGTCTGTGCTAGATGCAGTTGTCCCAGAATCATAAACCTAATAAACCTCTATTCTTTATAAATTACCCAGTCTCAGGTATTCTGTTATGGTAACACAAAACGGACTAATACATGTATATATACCACATATTCTTTATTCATTCATCTTTTAATCAACATTTAGGTTGATTCCATATCTTGGACATTATGAATAGTGCTGCAGTTAACATGGGAGTGAAGGTATCTCTGACATACCGACTTTCTTTCCTTTGGATATATGCACAGTGGTGGGATTGGTGGATCATGTGCTATTAGTATTTTTAATTTTGATGGGAACGTTCATACTCTTTTCCATAATGGTTGTACTAATTTATATTTCCACAAACAGTGTATGAGTTCCCCTTTCTCTGCAATCTCAGTAGCATTTATTATTTTTTGTCTTTTTGATAATAGCCATTTTAAGTGGGGCGAGATGATATCTCATTGTTGTTTTGATTTTTATTTCCCTAATGATTAGTGATATTGAGCATTTTTTTCATATACCTGTTGGGCATTTGTATGTTGTCTCATGAGAAATGTCTATTTAGATCCTTTGCCCATTTTAAAATTGGATTATTATTATTATTATTATTATTATCATTTGGCTGTTGAGTTTGTTTTTTATGTATTCTGGATATTAATTGCTTGTTGGATGGATAGTTTGCACACGTTTCCTGCCATTATCTATGTGGTCGCTTCACTCTGCTGATTGCTTTGCTGTGCAGAAACTTCTTAGTTTTATGTAATCCCTTTTGTCAAATTTCACTTGTATTTTGTGGTGTTTTCCAGAAAATCTCTCCCCAGACCAGTATCCTGAAGCATTTCTCTGTTTTCTTTCAGTAGCTTCATAGTTTTGGGTGTAAGATTTGGGATGAATCCCAATCTCACATAGAACGGGAATACTCGCCTCGAAGAGACCACAAGACCACGAGCAATGCAATTAGCAAGAGGTTTATTATTTCCAACGCGTTGGGTTCTCACCGCCAAGCTGGGGTGAGACCCCGTTAGGCTTTTTGGCTGCTTTTTTATATATTTTCTGGGGCAACTTTTCTGGAGGCCTGGAGACGAAGCAGTAAGCAGTGTTTATTGGCTAACTTAAGTAACCTTAAAGCTTATTGGTTGGCACCCATCCGTTTCTAGGTGATTTCCCTTCTGACTTCTTTACTGCTAGACACTTGGCCATCTGCTGGTTTGACTTTGCTATGAAGAGACATAAAATCAGCTAAGTACTTCTGTATCTCATAGCTCTGTGGTTACAAGCCTGTGCCTGTGTTAGCAAGAAAACCACAGGCTGTCAGCT